GTTGCGGCCGGACTCGGTGGAAAGTCTTTAAGTGTCGCGATAAAACTGCGACCGGACGGGATGTTTAACGACCCCCGCAGTCGGAATAACACCTGTGCGTTCGCCACGCGCATTCCGTATGCATTGCCCGTTGCGCGGTTTTAATTCGCAGCTTTAATTAAAGAATTCCAACCGTCTCTTTCTCCTTTTCCCTCCTCTCTTTTTTGTCATAATTGCGCATTGTATCCCCGATGCGTTATGTATCGGGAGCGAGGGATCCTCTAAAATCCGGGCGCCTTGTTAAAAAGAAATCCGCGGCGCAGCTTTAGCAAAATAGAATAGGACTTTCTCTACTTTCTCTATAAAAGTTCCTTAATTACGAGGATCTCATTCAATGGAAGTTTCAGTGAATAGACTGCGTTTAACAACGGTCTTTTTGGGGTCAGGAAAAAAAAGATCACGGCGGAGCTTCCAGTCTTTGTTATTAAGATACGCTGGAATAACTGAACCACGGTTCTTTGTGCGTTCAAAGCGTTCGCCGTTTGTATTAACAGAGAGTAGTAACATCTCTGTTTTATTTTTGCAATGACGTATCTCTCGCTCGGCGAGATAAATATTCGAGATATCGCGAATCTTACGAAATCATCCAAACACTACCGATAATCGTATCCCCGAATCTGTTTCTATCATCGTCCGTATCATTAATCCATTTTCACGAACGTCGCGTTGATAAATATATCCGTGCGCCCCGTGTATTAAGGAAAACCAGGTAAACCCACAATGGAAATGAAAAATTGACAAAGAAACACTCCACGAAAGCGACAAGGTAACACGCGCGTGAAGTATACAATGGTAAAAGCACATTGTTCGGTTTTCTCATGGCACCTATAGGCCGCGTCAAAATGCATGGCCCCTGGATCCAGCTGAAACCCGCATCTACACAATCTCCTCGCCGTACCAATTACTGTAGACTCCTAAACAATGCACTTTCACCGTTGCACATTTTTTTATACGTACAGGGTGTACCGAAAATCCGTCGTCCCGCGAATGTGACTACAAAACCGAACTCAACAAAACGAGAACAACGAAGAGTCGTTAATTAAGAAGCTTCAGAAATATTCCTGAACCCGACCGTTCTCTCCGAGGAGGGTAAATAAACCCAGATAGTTTTTACGTCACCCGGCCCCCTGTGTAGGCGTATTTTGTTTAACATTCCGCGGACCAGGTCGAAGTTCCCGTTTCCGGCTTATTGCATACCCCGCAGCCTCAAACTGTGCTCATCAAACTTCGAGTGCGGCCCGGCCTCTTCCTCGAAAGTTGCTCGCGCGATGTCGGATGCTGAAATGCTTCGGAATGGAGGGTGAGGGTTGGGAAATGACGGGACACGCCGGCGAGGGGAGGGAGAAAAGGTTTTATTAAAGCGGGCAAGCCCGCGCGGCATGTCTCTTCTCCGGCGTTTCCGGCGTTTCCGTTATTCCCCGGCCGGTATGCAATTATCGGGGCACTATTACCTGGCCGGCTCTCGCGGGCCCCTATCGCGATGAAAGTGAATTATTCAGCGGCCGCTAATTAATTAGCATCACCGAGGCGGTAGGCAATACCATTTTCCCAGACGCGCCGCGGACTTCTCGTTAGAGTCCTCGGCTGGGGGATGTTTGTCCCCGACGTTTCCGGTAAATTTCCGCGCCACCCTGCGCATCACTTAATCGTTGTTAACCCTTTGCGCCGCTTCGACGAGCCTCACCCGTGAACATTCCGGACGAAACGCGAACACACGGCAAACGGCCGTTTCCTGGATAAAATTCGATAACTTGACACGTTGCGTTGGATTGCTAATCCTACGTTATTGCGACGTTTTAGATACGTATAACACGAGTCCAGAGTAAAATTACAAAATCGAATTCCTTATTCTTTTTCCTAAGTTAGAAATTTTGATTGATGTTTAAGGATGTATCAATATAATCACCGACGCTCGCGTTTTTAGTAGAAATTTAGCCGGTGTATAATCTGTTAAGTATTATTAGCGATACAAACAAATGCTTCAGATAAAAGTTGTAAAGTGTAGAGCTGAACGTATGGAGGTTATATGTTTTTTAATACTATGGGGATATTACGAAGTTGTTTCAGTGACAGTGGACACTTTGCGTTTCGATTCGAACGTTATATAAAGAGAAACGGTATTTAGTTACGCAAGATTGTTACTGTTGAAATGAAAATCATTTTGTACAGTGGAGATTAATTAACAACAGATTGGCGATCTCCAATTTGTTTCGTTTGATTCGATTTGATTGATTTCGGGCCGTATATGAATATCACGAGCGAGAACTATTTTATTTCAGCGCTGCGCGTGTAATCACGACTTACGTCAGGCTTGATATCGACTATCAGATTTGATCATTTTACTGTCGATGTTAAGATCTCGAAATGAGTGTCGATAGGATCCCAAAAATCTGTTTTAAATTTCCGTTATGAATCGAAGAGTTTTAGTTCTTCTTAGAACTCCTTTTTGCCATTGCATCTTTCGACTTTTCCTATTTGTTCTCCTTCTGTCAACAGTTTAATGATCACGTCACTCGAATTCGAGTGACGCAGGCTTTTACATGAACGTAACATTTGATTCTTATCGGCGACATATGGAACGAATCGAATCTCGTTGTACGTATGAGATACCAGATGGACAATAGAACAATCGCTACGCAAAATCTTGACGCGGCAGTTCTGATGAGCGTTGATTTGTCGGTCTACGTGTTAAAGAACTCACGGAGTTGCGCGCGTAATTGGTCCGAGTAATTTCCAGCGAATCCCGGTCGATTTATCTTGGCCCACGATGTTTGGAGAGACACCTCTGGAAATCGGTGAAAATCACGGATAATTTGGGCCGTTCGCTATCGGTCTTTTTTAATTTATATGATAATGAGGCCGGCGATCCGATGTGTATTCATGAGCATCGGCCGCTTTAATATCTACGGTTTGTACTTGGAAAAATGGACAGTTGATGTGCGCGCGTTTGCGAAGTGCTCGCGCTGCGAGCTCTGAATATTCGTTGGAAGTGGGACTTTCATCCTTTTTTCTAGAGTTCGATGCTTTTCATTGGATATTCGGTCGATTTAGTAAATACCAGTAGTCAGTACTCTCTAAGTTTAAACTTCCCAGTTTTCGTGAGTGAACCTCCACTTTCTATACAGACGTATGAATTGCAATTAGGTTTTTGCTTCGAATATATTTATATACTATTTACACATCGTACAGTCGAGCTTATGCAAAGCTCGCCCAGTCTCACGGAAATTTGGACACGGAAGCTAAAACGCTATCGATTTTAATATCAGGAGTAGCTTAAATATTTTAGCGACATCTATTTCTATCGATAGAAGTTTCCTCCTCAATTTCAAACTTGGCATCAACTAAAACCGAAAATAGAAACAGCTTGCGAGGAAGTCAATCAAATGAAATCGATATAATCAGAAACCGATGCGCTCGTTTCCGTTGTACCATCCTATTTCCAACGTTCTACGATTAAAACATTCATCAACCCCAAGTAAATACTTTTTCCATCTAGTTCACTTCGTTCCCCGTCTAAAAATTCCCCTTAACCTTTCCACCGCGAAGCATCCTTGCCGCTCATCCTTGAAAAGGATAAATCCTCGTTCCGTTGGAGAACAGTGTTCTGCGTCCAATTAATTCGCCGCTGTCCATCGGAGTGCCGGTGATCGCCGAAAATACCTTTCGCTCGCCGCGCGGGCCCCGAATCGTTCCTGCGGACTCTTTATCAGTAACCACAGTCACGAAATCGCTGTTCGACCCGCGGCGGAGCGGGAGGCATACGAATTTTCAACCGTCGAAAAACGCTGCGTCTCCGTGCCGTCTCCCTCCGCGCGCCCTCTCTCGTTCTGCACGTTTTCCGGCCGCGTCTGTCTTATCAAATATTCATCGCCGCAACACGTGAGACGCGGCGAACGGCCGGGACGCCGCACGGTCATCGTCGAATCAACGCCGAAGCGAAATCTGAACGCGGACGGCGAGAAATGTGCACGCCATGACGTCGGGGAAAAAGAGCACGACCGTCCCCGTTCCGCTGAACGCGCGAAAGAACAGGGACGGAATCGATAATGGTAAATTCCCTTATGTATTATATGCCTGATAAATAAACAGCGGCGGATCGCGTGACTTCCGGTTCGGTTAACCCGGCGCGGACACACTGGCACGTCAGTGTGCAGCGGCGGGGTGGGACCGGCGTGCGCGAGACACGTGTCGTTGAATGGTACTCGCGAGGAAAATTTAATATCGCGGGGGTCGAACTCGCGAGAGAACGGTACCGGACATTAGAGGATGAATTTCGGAATCAGCTAGATCCCGTCAGGCGCCGACGATGACGCTGGCGAACCGTGGATCGTCGTGCTTTCACGGCGCAAAGGAATCATCGTGAACTCGCCGGATGGCGGATTAACTGAAAACGAATGCTGTTCCGTTGAACGTGTCGTCTGGAAAATGAAATTGGATTCCGACGATTGTTTCCTTTAAATTTGTTTCGCGGTCCGGCGACGAGGCCGACTGCAGCGGCGACGGGAGTTCCACGATTCTCCGAGACAATGGTGAATTAACTGAACGCGATTAATGAAAATCGCTGAGAACTCCGCGAGGGAAATGGGAAACAGAAATAAACTCGACGTTAATCTCCTTAACTCAATAATTTCTCTCGTCACCAACTACTTTCGTCCTCGCTGTTTCCTTCTAGGGCAACCTTGTTCCTCGTTTCCTGGAGAAATCCCTTATCTTCGCTTATCTGGCAGGTCATCCTATAAGGAGTGTCGCATCTTATCTCACTTAACGAGACATCTTTTTATCCCATTTCGAGAAGCACATTAAAAACTCAATTAAGATGTCATACAATTAGAAACACCCGAGTGTCAGTATACACCAGAAACATAAGAAACACATTACTTTGGGATAACCGAATACTTAACGAACCTTTAATCCCACGACAACTGCCTTCGCATTCATAGAAAAATGTATGTCTGTTACAGATACGAAGCCCGCACCACATAGACATGTGATTCCCCCGTAGCAGCCAGATCTCTTGTAAATTCGGTTGTGAAGAATCCCTCTGAGAAGACATCCTCCCCCTCCCCTCCCTAATCCGGCGCTTCCAGATCGCGACGCCTCCGGGTGATGAGCTCGGGGTACAAGGTGACAAGTCGCGTCCAAAAATGTTCCGCTTCAAGATTCGCATTCACACGTGTCAAGTGATACTGCTGACGTCGCTGGTATGGTTCCTGGTGGACGTGATGGTGCTGATGCTCTATTCGGACTGTATCGGGGGGTCCGGGTGGGGTTGCACGGACAGCAGCAAGCAGCAATCGTTGACGGAGGAGAGCCTGCCCCACCCGAAAGCGTTGAAGGACGATCAGGCGCAGCCGACCGGGCAGCAGGGCACAAAGAGACGCTACAAGCAATCGGAGCTGCATTTGTGGAGGCCGGCGAAGATCGTGCGGGAGAGCAAGGGTAGCCCCGGCGAGCTGGGCGCAGCCGTCCACATCTCGCCGGAGGACGAGGCCAGGCAGCAAGAGCTCTTCAAGCTGAATCAGTTCAACCTGATGGCCAGCGACATGATCTCCCTGAATCGGTCCCTGAAGGACATCCGCCTGGAGGGGTGCAAGTCGAAGAAGTACGGCAAGTACCTGCCGGACACCAGCATCGTAATCGTGTTCCACAACGAAGCGTGGAGCACGCTGCTCAGGACCGTTTGGTCGGTTATAAACCGCTCGCCGCGGAACCTGCTCAAGGAGATCATTCTTGTCGACGACAAGAGCGAACAGGGTGAATATCGTGTCACCGGGTATACGTATGAAACCAGCGAAACGTCCTTGCGTACTGTTTGTATATGTAGACAGAATGGGGAATAGTATTGTATCTAGAGCGTGTCACACTTAATTTGAATATGTTAATGCATCTCATTTGGTTCGAACCATAATGGACTATTATCGGAGGAGAACGTGGTTTAGTGTGAAAGGACAACTGTCTCTTTTTTGTCTCAAGGTCGTCGATAACTTTTGTTTCAAAGAATTGTATTTCTAGTTATTACTCAAGACAGCTTGTCGATTCTTGTGGGAAAATATTAAGCTGTTTATTAGTAGGAGGTTGTTATGCGAAAGTTCTTATGGACAAGTTGTGAAGCACTCTGTACAGCCCTTTCTGTATGTTTGTGGCGAAGGATTGTTTCGTTGTTTTATGGGTGTTTACTTGCTTTGTTTAAAACGACCTATGTAACAATGCTCGCTTGATCCACAGATCACTTGAAACAAGAGCTAGAGGACTACGTAAAAACACTGCCGGTCCCCACGTACGTATACCGTACCGAGAAAAGATCAGGCCTAATAAGAGCTAGACTGCTCGGAGCGAAGCACGTGAAGGGGCAAGTTATAACATTCTTGGATGCACATTGCGAGTGCACGGAAGGCTGGCTGGAACCCTTGCTCTCTAGAATAGCTGAAGACAGAACCACAGTTGTTTGTCCTATAATTGATGTAATTAGTGACGATTCTTTCGAATATATTCCAGCTAGCGACATGACATGGGGTGGTTTCAATTGGAAACTAAACTTCAGATGGTAATGAAATGTTCCTTGTTTTCTTGTATGCGATACGATACCTAGCATTAACCCTTCGACTGCAGTGTGCTCTGCCGACAGACTATCAATATCCTAAAAAATAAAAAAATACTAATGACAATTTAATAGAACAGTAAATATCCTGAATTAAGTAAAATTTTCTAAGTGTATGTATTCGTTTCTCTCTGTATACATGTTCTTTGCAGTCAAAGGGTTAAGTCTTGAATCGTAAGAGTTGATTGAGATTAAGTCTAAGTTACCGATCGAGTTTTTCTAATATAAAATTCTTTTAACTTTTAAGGTATAGAGTAGCGCAAAGAGAAATGGACAGAAGATTGGGAGACAGAACTGCCCCTCTGAGAACACCGACAATGGCGGGTGGATTATTTTCTATTGATAAGGATTACTTTTACGAATTGGGCGCATACGACGAAGGCATGGACATTTGGGGCGGTGAAAATCTTGAAATGAGTTTCCGGGTGAGTATTTGTTGATATCATTTGTATTCAATTAATTATATTACACGTAGTACTAGTACGTGAATTTTCTTTAACAGACATTATGGTACTAAAAACATTTACCTGTATCTTATCAGGTCAACTTTTTGTTTACCTTTTTCAGCAGCAATCCCATAAAAAAGTTCTTCTCCTTATAGTACATGTATTCAGTTAGTAGTTATATTATATATACTACACACTTTTTAAGGTAGTAGTAAATGTAATAGTCGTACTCAATACTAAAACTTCAAGCCTTTAGCATATGGTTTAGAAAAAATATAATCCTACAATCAGGATAGTTGTAGTCACGCGCAGAAATCTATAAAATTATTTCTTTTAATTATGTGTAATTTCCTAAACTCCACTATTGGAAAATAATTCAGTATTCACTGGAAAATTTGAAATATACTTAATTTTTTTATGGAATTTACTTATGGAATTCAATAATTTTCTTGAAGTTTTAGTACTAAATGGTGATGGGATTTTATAATTGGCTACTAAAAAAATAAAGGATTTAAGTTTGTGATTCCAATTAGAGGGTTTAACTATGGATACCTCCATCTTCATTTGTGAAGTCATAAGTACCTTATAGGTATGGCAATGCGGTGGGACGTTAGAAATCAGTCCATGTTCACACGTTGGACATGTATTCCGAGACAAGAGTCCATATACATTCCCTGGTGGTGTCAGCAAAGTAGTACTACACAATGCGGCTCGGGTGGCCGAAGTCTGGATGGATGAGTGGAGAGATTTTTACTATGCCATGAATCCAGGTTAGATAATAACGTGTATCATTTTCATTTGTTTATTTGTTTTTACATAATTCTTAAATTATACTTTAGAAAAAAGTGTGCAATATTCTAATTTTTCAACAAGAGAGAATGGATTCTCTACGAGAGTACACAGAAGGTAAAATTGATGCTTGTGTTCACATAGTGTCAGTAAACTCTAACACAGAATGCATTGATATAGTATTAGAATATGTTTAAAAATATTCTGAGTACTTACGTATGCGTGACGGGTATCTGATACAAGCTATGCTGTGATATTTTTAATATAGAGAAGAAGTATACTATAGCACACTTTTATATGAGTAATCATTAGGTTGCTATCTTTTTTAAAGTGTACTTCGAAAAGACATACAATTTTAATATAATCAAAACATCTATCATAGATTTAACACAGAGTACAATTTAATATTTCTCAAGCTCTACTGTGATTAGTAATATGTGTAGCGAACTTAAACATTAAAAATATTAACACCTGTAACTATGTAGCTCCTTATATCTCAATTGTAAGATTAACTATAAACGTATTTCATACTGTGACATTAACCAAATTATTGCTGTATCTAGTTTAGAGTTTTATATTAACAAGTGTGTATTCATGCATAAATGTTTCTTGGATAACTACATATATTTCTGATTTTCTTAAAATACTTTTACATGTGTGTGCGTAAGTGTTACATGGATTCTGGGATCTAGATGTTACATTTAGCTATGAGATTTGATTTTCAGGAGTAGGATATATTTTGTTGCATTTTAAATATAACTTCAATATAGTCTTAACCACTCATCCATCCAGCTGACTAACAAAATGAGTTCCTTTGCTTTTTGTTGATACATATTGTAAGCTATATTATAGGTACTGCAGAGGAGAGTGAAGATCCGTCTGAACAATTCTGAATCTAATATTATTAGCTCTTTTTTATGATTGTGTTATGAATTATAATTGCTAACATACTAACAGAACTGAGTTGGTTAGATATGGATGTGTGGTGGGACATTGGAGATCGCAACGTGCTCGCACGTTGGTCATGTATTCCGTAAATCAACACCATATACGTTTCCTGGTGGTACCAGCAAGATAGTGAACCACAACAATGCGCGACTCGCTGAGGTCTGGTTGGACCAATGGAAGTACTTCTATTACAACATTAATCCAGGTAGCACTAACAACCCAGCATTTGTGGAAAAGAAACTGCAAAGTACAAACTGCAATGTCGCTGCTGAGTTCTTGTATGCCTCTTCATGTATTCTTTGGCTTACTTGTCTTGCATGTTTTGTTTCCTTATTGGGAGATTGGTTGGAATGCTTTTATAGAGTATGTACACAATGAATTCCTTGTAGCGGGGTACCAGCTACACGTATATCAGATACCCGTTAATACCATTTGTATAAGAAAATGTCCTTTTCGTTTAATACATTATTGAACTTAGGAAATATTACAATAGAATAATGAAAAGATTATATATTCTTTAGAAGATTAATAGAAGATAATATTCTTATCATATTCTTCGTTTACATATTTTAAATTTAAAATGTTAATACAAATTGTGACACATTAGCTCAGTTCTTTCAATGGGCAAGCATTACAGCATTAATATACTACACATGGCAATTCCTTTATGTTGGCACATGTTTCTGACACACTCTATTTCCAGTGAATAATTATCCATGCAAAGCACATTACTATGTCACGTAAAGTCGAAGAGAATCTTCGTTTAAAAATATTGAGAAACACATTTTAATTGTAGGAGCTCGAAATGTAGATGTTGGAGATGTATCTGAACGACTGAAGTTAAGAGAACGTTTGAAGTGTAAAAGCTTCAGATGGTATTTAGAGAACATTTATCCTGAATCTCCAATGCCATTGGATTACTACTATTTGGGTGATGTACAAAATGTTGATACGCAGACCTGTTTAGATACTATGGGCAGGAGAACAGGAGAAAATGTTGGAATTAGTTACTGTCATGGGCTAGGCGGTAATCAGGTATGTGAGCCAATTCCAGCAGAATTTGGTAAATGTACCTTTTAAATACTCATTGATCTTCACTAGAACTTATTTTTAGGTATTTGCTTACACTAAACGGCAACAAATAATGTCTGATGATATGTGCCTTGACGCAGCTAGTCCCCAAGGTCCAGTCAAGATAGTACGTTGTCACGGTATGGGTGGAAATCAAGCATGGGTTTATAATGAAGAGGTAAAATGAAATGATCGAAAGAGATATCCTTAAAATAAATATATTATATTTTAATCAAACGTTTATTACTCTTCAGACAAAAATGATTAAACACACTAATACAGGGCATTGTTTATCGAAGCCTCGTTCAAACGATGCAATGCAACCTGTCTTAGCAACGTGCGATTCTGACAATACTGGTCAGAAGTGGATAATGCGAAGTAAATTCAAATGGCAGGCCAGCTAATATCAACTGAGTGCAACAGCTATATGTAACGCTTGTTGATATATTTAATTACTATGAAGGTTTGACAGTGAAGAAACTTCTCTACAAGCAAGATCAAGAAAGAAGATAGTATTATATTCCACGAGTCCAATATCACCTTTAGTCGATGTACTGACCGTAGTCAGTGATATCGACCTTGCGACAGAAATTGACTTATACCTACAAATGAGAGATTGAAGTTGATGCTTTTAGTTATATAGGATTTATTTACTGTTAATAGCAGTATCGTGTATTTACTGCCATTTGTCGTGGTATGCCTTGATTGATAATGCACAAGAGAACGTTGAAGAGGAACAAGAAAATAATTCCAACTGTGCGCGAATATACACGAGTGATACGAAAAAAAACCAACATGTGGATTTTTTTTGGTGAACAATAGAGAGGAAAGCATATCAGACCACTGTTATAAATAAATGATTGTTAATACAAAAGAGAGACATATTTCATGATATGGGATGAGTGCAATTCTGGATGACTGGGAGATATATCAGTGCATTAAAAGACACATGACATAATAAATGTCATTACAACAGAGTGAATGTCAGAATGCAAGTGGAATCATTGTGACACTACTGATGATTGCAATCTAGGACTTATACTGTACAATTTTCTAGTGATAGGGAAGAGCACTGAATCTTTTTATACTGATATTTCTAACAGTTCCTTGTTGCATCTCGTTCGTATGGTTTAGTTTTTATTTTCTTTATTTTTCTTTGTTTGTTTTCTCAATGGATGAATATGTACTTACATTTTAATTCGCCATAGCAATATGAGATTACGTTTGCAAGGTATCGTTAAGTATACGAAAATGCTATCGACTGTTATTCAATGTAATATGTTATGTTTTAAAGATTTTCTTAAATTCGAGACATAACGTCTTCCGTATTTTTTTAGAAAGCAAAGCGACAAATATTTTTATGATATCCTATTATCTTGCATAACAGTTCTTAATAAATTTAGACTCTTTTTATCTTCTATATACTAGAGGCGTGCTGAAAGATTTAGAGTGCAATATACTTGTTGAGCAAGACTTAAAGAGAACAGTTTCCTGTAAGTAATGTAAAAATATTGTTATCAGATTCTGGCGCCCTTCCCTTATATTATAGTAGATTCAACGTTGATTTTGTTCACGCTCTAAAAAGAGATAAAACGGTCGACGAAGTGAAACATTTTTTAAGAAAAAATGTTGACTGATTGTAATATTTTCATTCATGGTTGAGGAGAAATTTAGCTAATTCTACAACTTTAAATAAGGAACTACTGAACGACATTTATAATATTTAAAGTATATTATACGACTCTAAAATTTCAATTTAGGAGAATTTTAATATCAAAACAATATACTCAGTTTTGTTACTTGAAGGAATGGTGATGGTGCAACAGATTATTGTTTACAGCTTAATTATACATATTTAATTATTCATGCAAAAATATAGTATTTATTTTTGTACAGGTCTCAGTTTCTATTAAATCAATATGTTATTTTGAATATATGTTTAATTAAGAATTGTGTTAGCAAAATTTGTAGATAATTTATTAGTTGTTTAAAGAAAACAAGTTAAGTTTAAGCAAGTTCGATATAAGTTCATGAGTATAAAAGAGAAATAAAGTCAATAATAATTTGTAAACAACTTTCTATTTTAATTCATCATAATATAATATTTGTAATTGTTTATGACAGTAAT